GTTCCAGTAAAGCACTTGTCTTGCAAAAAGCAAGCACTAAAGCTTCTTCTGGGCACATTCTTGTTCAAGGTCGGTGTCTAGTTCCCACGATCTTTTATCTCTACAGCTGTAGAATTCCCCAGATTGACTCCAGCAACAGTTTCACAAGCTCCCTCTAGAGGAAACAATTTCTATTTGTATCCGTCTTTTTAAAAGCAGATCTAGCAACAAAGTTCCTTTTGTTTTCCAGATATTTTGTTCCTTTTAAGTGCAAAAGGGAACATTGGAATCGATATGTTTCTCTTTTTTAACTATCTGTCAAAAACGTTTTGTCCACAGTCAATGAACTTCCCCAAAGTGTCTGTCTCTGACACCCCGCTCCCAGGATCAAGATGGTGGAAATTTATCTTTCTTTACTCTCTCTTCTGCAGGTTTAAACAGTCTAAAAAGATTCCCCCTCTTCTCCTGCTTCCACGGGGGGTTTAGTGATTTTAACTGATGGAAATTTAGTCCTTTACAAATGACTTTCCAGACTCTAGCTTACAATGTCTTTGCTTCAATCTATTTACAAAAGCGGAAGGCGGACTTCCTGTTTAGACCTTCCCGCTTCGGTGCCAAATTAAAAAGTTTCTTAATCCAATTTTCCGTTCTACTCACAGGCAGTTGTTTAAAATCCAATTGTCCACAGGAAAAAATCAGTGCTCTCCGGCAACAGCAATGCGGCTTCACTCCGTGAAAAAAGCAGTCGATTCAAAGCACCGTGCCATTCACCCCACGTCGCTCCGGATCCCCGAAACCGGGTTTCCCCACGAGTAGGGGAGACGCAAAAGGTGCCAGCCGAATCCCACGTCCACGGGCTTCTCCCGCCTGTGGTTTTTAATGGGTTTCCGCCTCGCTGCGGCGGTCCAGACCCTAGTTCTCACGAAGCGGATTCCTCCTGGTCAGAGGAAATCCGCCATTGCCGGAGGCGCTAACCCGGAAGTTCGCGAATGGGGGTTTCCAGGCACATGGAGACCATTGCCTTTCACGTGGCCACACTGGCAGGACCCCCAATAATACTGGGAATGAGCTGGTTGGCACTGCGTGATCCCGTAGTGTCATGGCATCAGCGGTCAGTCACCTTTGGGTCAGCTTACTGCTTAGGACACTGTCTGGGAGGGGAGAACCCAAGAATGACGGTGGCCAGGGTGGCTGGGCTGGCCGTGGAACAAAAGGGGGAGGTGCCACCACAATATGCTGACCTGAAGGAGGTCTTCAGCGAGAAGGAGGCAGATGGACTACCCCCCCACAGGCCCTTTGACTGCCAAATCAACCTACTCCCAGGGGCTCAGTTGCCGGTGGGTAAGCTGTATGCCATGTCCGACCGGGAGATGCAGGAGTTGCGGCAGTTTATTGACAAGAACCTGAAGAGGGGGTTCATAAGGGAATCAAAGGCGGTGGGGGGCAGTCTGGTGTTCTTTGTGGACAAAAAAGACACTAATCAGCCTAGATTGGTCGTGGATTATAGGGGGTTGAACCTGGTGTCAGAACCCGTGACCTTCCCAATGCCAAGGATTGACGACATTTTAACACGGGTGAGGCAGGGGAAGATTTTTACCAAGCTGGACCTCAGGGGGGCATACAATTTAATCAGGATAAGGGAGGGGGACGAATGGAAAACTACCATGTTCACCCCCCTGGGGGCCTTCGAGTACTTAGTTATGCCATTTGGATTACAATCGGGCTCCGCCTGCTTTCAAGCATTCATGCACCACGTGTTGGGGCCCCTGCTGTACAAGAATTGCGTAGCCTTTTTGGATGACGTCTTAATCTATTCGGACAATGAGAAGCAACACGTCAAAGACGTCAGGGAAGTGCTACAGAGACTGCAGAAGCATCAGTTGTGGGTCAAGCTGGAAAAATGCCAATTTCACGCCAGGGAGGTCGAGTTTCTGGGGTACAAGTTGTCAGACAAGGGCCTAGCTATGGACCCAGGCAAGGTGAAGGCAGTGCTGGAATGGAAAGCCCCCAAAACCCGGAAGGATGTGCAGAGTTTCTTAGGGTTCAGCAACTTCTACAGGAAGTTCATAAAGAACTTCGCTCACTTGACAGTGCCCATAACAGATTGTCTCAGTAGCAAAAAGAAGTTTGCGTGGACAGAAAGTGCCCAGCAATCCTTTGAAAGGCTGAAGAAGGCGTTCGCTTCAGAAGAGCAGCTCCTGCACGTTGATCTGGAGAAGCCCATGAGACTGGAGACGGACGCGTCCGACCGAGCTGTTGGAGTGGTCCTTTTGCAGCCCGGGGCCAAGCAGGACTGGAGGCCGTGTGCCTTTTTCTCAAGGAAGCTGAGCAAGTCAGAGCAAAACTACACAGTGTATGACCGAGAACTGCTTGCGATCTATGCGGCGTTTCGGCAATGGAAACATCTGTTGATAGGGGCGCAGCACAAGATCCAGGTTTGTACTGACCACAAGAACTTGGAATACTGGCGGACAGCGCGGGTGCTCAACCAGAGACAGATTTGATGGGCCCAGGAGTTCGCCAAATTTTCCTTCGAGATCAGATACATGCCGGGAGAGGAAAACGTAAGAGCAGATGCTCTCTCCCGGAAACCGGAATACCTAGAGGGAGAGGGACCATCAGAGGTCCGACACGTGTTTCCCGAGGACCGGTGGGTGTGTGGGGGAACGTTGGTTGGGAAACGAGAACTGGCAGGGCTTACTAGAGACGACGCGTTCACTCAAGCAAAAATCAGGGAACTCCGGGACGGAAGGGAAGACCATGGAGGGTTTGAGGAAAAGGAAGGGCTACTGTACTATAAGGGGGCACTGTATGTACCAGGGGAGACCTTGAGGGGGAAGGTACTTAAACAACTCCATGACAACCCAACAGCTGGGCACTTTGGACAGCACAAGACCATGCTGCTCGTCACCAGGCAGTTCTGGTGGCCAAAGGTGAGGGAAGACGTACGGGAATATGTACGGGGGTGCGACCGATGCCAGAGGGCAAAGGGAGAGAGGGCTGCCCCCGCAGGGCTACTGGAACCCTTACCTACACCGGGAAGGCCCTGGGAGGTGGTGTCCATTGATTTTATGACAGATTTGCCCAAGTCAAGGGGAAGACAGCAGTCATGGTAGTAGTCGATCTACTGACAAAAATGTGCCATTTCATAGCTTGCTCACACGCGGTGACGGCGGAGGAGACAGCCAGGTTGTTTGTGAATCACATTTTCAGACTGCATGGGGCTCCCTCGAGGGTAATCTCGGATCGAGGGAAACAATTTACTTCCAGGTTCTGGAGGAAGCTCATGAGCTTGCTACAGGTCGAGGTGAGCTTCTCGACGGCGAGACACCCAGAAACCAACGGACAAGCAGAAAGAGCGAACAGCATACTCCAGCAATACCTACGCTGCTACGTCAGCGAGAGACAGAACGATTGGGTAGAGAAACTAGCCTTGGCTGAATTTGCGTACACTAACACTGAACATGTGTCTAAGGGAATGAGCCCGTTTATGGCCAATTATGGGTGTCACCCCAGGGCCTTCCCGGGGACGGGGGAGGAAGCATGGAGTGTACCCGCGGCCGAGCAGTTTATAGAAGAAATGGAGGCCTTGCACCAACAACTCAAGATGAACTTGGAGTGGGCCAAGGAAGTTTACAAGAGGCAGGCAGACAAGCACTGTCGGGAGGGGGAGGCCATAAGGGTGGGAGACCGGGTGTGGTTGTCTACCCAAGGGTTACCCCTAAAGGGAGGGTGCAAGAAGTTGCAGCCGAGGCGGCTGGGGCCTTTTGAGGTAACACAGCAGGTGAACCCAGTGGCATTCAAACTCAAGTTGCCGGACAGCATGAAGATACATCCGGTGTTCCATAGGTCCCTACTTTCACCGTACAGGGAGGGGCGGGAATTTCCGGGGCGGGAGGGAGGAGTCACCACCCACCTGCAGGTAGAGGAGAGGGAACACCGCAACCAAGCCACGGAAATACTCGATTCAAGGTGGCGAGGTCGCCAGGTGGAGTACTTGGTAGCTTGGGAAGGAGAACCCAGGTCAGAAAACACGTGGGTCCCCGCTGAGTCAATCAATGACGGGTATCTGGTGGAAGAATTCTACAGTTTGTTCCCGGATAAGCCAAAACCACTAGCGAGATTCTGGGAGGAAGAATTTGGAACCACAGACGACAAAGGGGACTTTGTGGGTTTTCCTGCCTCCAAAGAGGAGGGAGGAGAGGTGTCAGAGGGAGAAGAATCAGACTGGGAGGTCCACCCTGAGGGGAGAGATCTGAGCGGGTGGGAGGCTGGTTTTGAATCCTCAGAGGATGGTGACAGCTCCTTCAGGGGATTCCCCGCATCGTTGGCCGAGGAAAGAGACGAGGTTGTATCGGAAAATCGCGCCGGGGTGGAGGGGTCCTGGGGAGGAGGTGGATGTCAGGGAACTGCCATCGGAGCCAGGGGGAGAGGGAGGGCTCCAGAGGGATTCCGGAGAGCGTCCCGGGAGGGAGAGAAGCAGCACATCTTCTGGGGAAGGAAATCAGCGTAGCACCGGTGGAGAAGGGGGGCAGATGGGGGAATCGGCGAGGTGGCTCCATGACTCCCCGCCGGGGACCAGCGGGGAGAGCACGGGTCCTCCGCTGCCCACACCCTCCCTGCGCAGAAGGCTACCGCGCAGGGAGAGCAGGCAGAGACTAGGCGTCAAAGAACTTCTTTGCTGGAAGAAGTTCAAGAAACGCCCACTGACGGATTCTGCCAGCGATTGAGACAGCCACGGGTGAGTGGCTGTCCGGGCAGAAAAGGTTCACTCGGGCAACCCAGCCAGGTGTGGCGCCGATTTACGCACGAGCAACCCCTAGAACCATTACAGGTGTGTTCCCTCTGGCTGGCCCCTCCCAGACCCAGGCTATATATCCTTTATTCACACCCTAGGTCAAACCTGATAGGCTCATTCAAACTTCCCTTCTGGAGCCGGATTGGACGGCTCCAACGGCCAATCAGATGCTAGATTCTAAAACCCTCCCTGCCTATTGTTCTAGGATCCAAACTCCAGACATAACATCTTCACTGGTGTTGCATAAGAACCCCAGGTGAGCATAACTAAGAGGAGACCAACTTTACCATGCATTCAGCAGCAGCACCCACAGACCTGAGGACTAGCTGACAGGGCAAATCCTGTATTCCTGGTTGGAGGAGCCAGGAGAGGCCATAGCCCAAAATTGTCTGTGTTGCATCCCTCTCCTCCCCTGGCTTGCCCCTCCTCCCAACCATGCCTTCTCCCACAGATATAGGAGCTTTCCCTCACCCCTAGCATACTCCAGACATGTTTTGCACCACACGCCCAAGTAAGAATGATACAATTTGATTTGCTTCGCCTCGCCTCAACAATTCAATGTATGGATGCCAGGGGGTGACATTGAATTGCATATCTGATACTCTGAATAAACCCACTGAAATAAATGAACCTGTTAGTCATGCCTATTAATTTCTTTCTTTCTTTTTTCATGTTCAAGCGTGCTCTTTCCCCACCACATTTATATATATGTGTGTGTGTTTGTGTCTGTGTTTGTGTTTTAACATATCATTTTCAACAATTATTAAACATACTTTTATATCTTGTTCAATTTTTTTGACTTCAATCAATCACATCTGAAAATTTTCAAATCTTTTCACTTAATTTACATTTCTTACTTTCACTATTACATTTAAATATCATAACTAATGTCTCTCTTCTTTCTCTTCTTTGCAATATTTCATATATTTCTCCTTACAAAACTTCTTGTAGTCCTACTAGCGTAATTTGTTGATTACAGTTGCTCTTCAAATAGTTTGTATATTTCTTGTCATGCCTATTAATTTCAGGGGGGCCACTGACTTTTTAAAACAACAACAACAACAAATTCCTCCTGTTAGTGCGCTTATCGGAAGGGGGAGAAAGTTAAACTCTCAGCATTTTACTTAACGAACTTCGTTTTTCTTACATTGCCAATTTCCCAGGCATACAAAGGGAAATTGGGGTGAGCAATTTGTTTAGTTTCTCAAAGTGAGCAATTTGCTTAGTTTCTTAAAGTGAATGGTGTGGTTATTTTCTGAATCAAAGGGCAAGCTGCAGCCTCAGATTCTCTTTTTTTGGAATTTTAGAAATAGTCACTTTCCGGCAGAAATATTGGAGCAGGACATCTGCATGACCAAAATCTGCAATTCTCAATCTGAAACCCGACTTTCCGATATTTGAGAGGTTCCACGATACATGTCCTCAGCCGCCTCTGCAGCGTGAGAGTGAGCTGGCTGCCAAATCCATTGCTTAATAACTCTCCTTGAAATTTAAGCAGAATGAGGGTCAAACTGTTGCGAAAAGGTCACTACGGAAAGAAGATGGAAGCAGCAGTTAAACACACACAGAGTAAGATTTATTTTCCCCAGCATCTTATAGGGTACCCCCCCGGCAAGTCATTAAAATGGTTTTCTGAAATAAAATGTCTTACATGGATGGTTAGGTGTGTTTTTCACATACCCAAACTGGTGAATGTGTGCTGAAAATTCTAGACTCTTCACAATTTTGCTCTTAGAGGAAGGCAGTTCCAAATGCAAGGAGATAATGGTAGTTCGACTAGTAAACAGAATTATTGTTCACTAAGGGTTGCTTCACACCTGTATTTTTAACACTTTGAGTCCGCGGCATGAAAATCCTTTTTAGATCTGTTTTTTCCAATGCACAGCGTGCAGGTAACAGGATCAAGGAAGCTACCCTTTCCCATATTTGCCAGAATAGAGAGGATATTTAGCACCATGCAAACACTTTCATCCTTCATTGTTCTTGATTGGAACGAACCCTATGTCTATATCAGTAAGTACTAACTCTGTGCCCTACAGAGGACAGAAAATCATTAGGGGTGCGAAATTTCAATACAGCTTCACACTTCCGTCGCTGGGCTCTGTTGAAAACAGCTACTCCATGTGAAACTGGAAGTGACCTCTCCAGACAATGGAATGAATCTTCTTTTCTTATCTCTGCCGCCACAATCTCCTGGGTGATGCAGACACCATAGGCAGTTGAATGTGTATCTGTACTTTCCCTCCCTCCTTCCCACCCCCCTCTATGCAGCCCCGGGCGCTGTCAACCCATGCTACATCACTGATCTGCATGGGATTTAGGTGACAGTCTTATGGAAAGAGCATATGCGCTTTGTAAATTATCACCTGTAGCTTTTGCCATAATAATAATAATAATAATAATAATAATAATAATAATAATAATTTTATTATTTATACCCTGCGCATCTGGCTAGGTTTCCCCAGCTACACTGGGTGGCTTCCAACAGAATATAAAAACATAATATTGAGCTCCAGAATTTAAAGATGAATTGATGGGAGTTGTTCACCAAGCATTGTGGTGAGGGGGAACAAGCAAAGCAGGGACATTTTCATCACCAGACAGCCTTCGATTTCGGAGGCAATTTTCATGCTACAATTAGTGACTTGCTATTTATTCATTTATTCATGTATTCAATTTACACCCCACCCCTTCTCCCGGAGGTTACCTCAGGGTAGCAAAACACACAAGCAATGAAACAATTAAGATATCTAAAAACATCGGGTGGGGATTCCAATACAAATGCAGAGTGGGAAAGATCTCTACTTTGTAATGCTTGTTGAAAGACGAAGGTCTTCAGTAGACACTGAGAAGACAACAGTGATGGCCCCTGTCTAATATTCAATGGGAGGGGATTCCGAAGGGTTGGTGCTACAACAATATACATGCAGAATGGACCTCCTGACAAGGTGGCCCTAACCTGCAGAGTGCAGTGATTGCTGGGTCTCACACACTGTTCTCCCCCTCCACATTTTACCTCACAAACACCCAGTGAGGACGGTTACACCACGAGACAGTGACTGGCCCAAGTTCATCCAGAGAGCTTCATGGCTGAATGGGGATTCGAACCCCAGTCTCCGAGGTCTTAGTCCAACACACTAACCACTGCATTACACACCTATGGGGCTGTATACCCCAGAATAAGCACCTTGATCTTAGCCCGGTAGCCTGGGTGCCCTCTGGGTGCCCACCTCAGTGTCCCCATGGTTGATTTAATGCTCTCTTGGTAGCTGCTTGCTCCGGACGAAACTCAGGGACTCATTACGGCAGTTGAAAGTGTGTATCCCTCTCCCTATTTATTTTATTTTATTTTATTTGTAGGCAATGCCTGGTCTGCCTCCTCCTTTTGGTTTCCGCTAAGGCCCTTGCATTTCCTTCTGAGGAGATGTTTTGCCATGACAAAGTAACTGCTGACAAAGTGAATAAACTGACTTCATTTTAATTTTGTTTTGCATTTTCCTTTTGTATATTTTGATCCTAAAATCTTTTTGAGTGTCTTTCTCCCTTTCTGTCCCCCTCCCCCCGCCTTCCCCTTTATGATAATAAAGCAACTGTTTGTGCGGTACCATGCAATCATTTCTGAATTGGATTTATTTTTGTCTACAGATCCTTCTCCAAAATCTTGATCGCCCTCCCCACTGCTCGCCCCCATTTTTTTTGAGTCGGCATGGCATCTCTCCAGCAATGTTTTAATATAAAATTTAAAGCACAAAGAAGGAAAAGAGCCTAGGGTGGATGTAAGATCAGTAACGACACAAAATAGGGACAACAGACTCCCCTCTCTCCCTGACAGATGAAAACAGATCATACAGAGCAGGATCATGTCAGTAATAATATGCAAGGTTGAAGCCCGTATGGTGAATTTCCAGCTTCTCCATGACATATTTCTTAATGCTTCTTTTAACAACCCCTCTATTCCCCCAAACTGAGTGTGCAAAGCAATTGTGTGGTTCCCAATGGGTGGTCCGTGGACCACAGGGAGTCTGCATATACCCACCCAGGTGGTTTGTGGCACCATTCAAATAACAAAAACTACCACAGAGATATCAAAATTTTCAAAAGTAAGGGGGGCCATAGCTTGATCTTTGAAAAACAGGGTGTGTGCAGTACTTAGTTAATTGGGAACCACTGGTTTAAATCATCACAGGATGGAACATGCTAAAAACATATTTGTTGTTGTCGTTTACCATAAGGTACAAGGACAGGTTAACAACAACTGTGGTTGGCTCTCACATATGTTCACTTCATCAAATCTGGCCCTCTTTGAAAAAAGCTTGGGCACTTCTGGGTTACAACTGAAAACATCACTAATATTAAATACTAATATTAAAAACAATGCAAAACAAGATTACAAAAAATAAGTTGGGTCCTGAAAACTGGATATGCCGTTGCAAGCCAGATACCTACAAACAATTAAAATGACCCAATATTCACTTATGTATTTATTTGATTTATTTGAATTGGGCCCAGAAAGAGATTGGCAGCCGGTGAAGTTGGGCCAGGATTGGTGTTATATGGTCAAACCGCCTTGTCTCAGTGAGCAGGAGTGGATTTTCACATTTCAGCGGCACCCTGTGCAAGGCCAAAATTCGGCACCCCGTGCCTCTCGCTTTCCATTCTGCTCAATTCACTACATCATAATTGTGAAGCCCTGCAGTGCCCCCTAAGTTCGGCGCTCAGTCGCGCTGCCCTAAATCTCTGCAGCGAGCAACTGGGCTGCTGAGTTGTGCATGAGCTGAAGTTTCCAAATCGTCTTCATAGGCAGCCCTACATATAGCCCATTGCAGTAATCCAAACTAGAGGCTACCAGAGCATAGACAACAGAAGTTGGACAATCCCTGTCCAAGACAGGGGTGCAGCTGGGCCACCAGTTGAAGCTGATGGAAAGCACTCTGTGCCACTGAGGCCACCTGATCCTCAAGTGACAGCAATAGATCCAGAGTTACTCCCAAGCTACAAACCAGATCTTTCACAGGTTGTGTAACCCCATCAAGAACAGAAGTATAGTGTCCAGGTCAAGGGAAGTAATGGTACCACTCTATTCTGCCTTGGTCAGACCCAACCTGGAGTAGTGTCCACTTCTGGGTACCACAATTTAGGAAGGATATCAACAAGGATATCAAGGTGCGCAGCCTGGGAGTCATTCTGGACTCACAGCTGTCCATGGAGGCGCAGGTCAATTCTGTGTCCAGGGCAGCTGTTTATCAGCTCCATCTGCTACACAGGCTGAGACCCTACTTGCCCGCAGACTATCTCGCCAGAGTAGTGCATGCTCTAGTTATCTCCTGCTTGGACAACTACAATGCACTCTACCTTTGGGGCTACCTTTGAAGATGACTCGGAAACTGCAATTAATCCAAAATGCAGCAGCTAGACTGGTGACTGGGAGCGGCCGCCGAGACCACATAACACCGATCTTGACAGATCTACACTGGCTCCCAGTATGTTTCCGAGCACAATTCAAAGTGTTGGTGCTGACCTTTAAAGCCCTAAATGGCCTTGGTCCAGTATACCTGAAGGAGTGTTTCCACCCCCATCGTTCAGCCTGGACACTGAGGTCCAGCGTTGAGGGCCTTCTGGCGGTTCCCTCACGGCAGAAGTAAGGTTACAGGGAACCAAGCACAGGGCCTTCTCGGTAGTGGCACCTACCCTGTGGAACGCCCTCCCACCAGATGTCAAAGAGAAGAACAACTACCAGACTTTTAGAAGACATCTGAAGGCAGCCCTGTTTAGGGAAGCTTTTAATGTTTAATAGAATATTGTATTTTATTATAATAATATAATATTTTAATACTTTGTTGGAAGCCACCCAGAGTGGCTGGGGAAACCCAGCCAGATGGGCGGGGTATAAATAAATTATTATTATTATTATTATTATTATTATTATTATCCAGTGGAATCATTGCTGAGGGCGCATACCAGCCTTTCCCAAGCAGGTGCCCCCAGGCGCTTTGAGCTGCAACTTCCCAGCAGCATGTGCTGGCAGGGATTGATGGGAAGGCTGGTGAACACACCCATGCCATGTTCCACAAACAAGTTTTGCAAGATTACAAAAACCTGCCAGACCTTTTTGTCCAGAGGCACTGGTGGGATTAAAACAAAAAACAAAACCACACCAACGTATATGTTGCACCATGGGAAATGAAGTCCCTTGTGGAGGTGATGCTCTGCTTGTGCTGAGGCAAACCTCACACCAGGCATGCAACAGCGCCCATGCTCCTTGACCTTTTGCCTTCTTGGCTAGCAAACAGGGTTTTTACCCGGTCCGTTTGTCCTCTCACAGATTTGGGTACTAGACATAACGCTTGGCTGGAGCATGACGGGGGACGCAGACATAATCAAGTATCGGGGAACATTTTAGGGAAACACTTGCTAACACGTATATTTGCTAATGCTGGAAATGCACTTAGATGGAAATACGTTATGTTCAGAGTGGTTTGACTACTGTTTCCAATTGTTGACTTCCGCTAATAAAAGGAGCCTTTGCAGAGCTAGTCGGCAGCTTGCTTGGAGCATGCTTACCAGCGTAATTCTGCACAGCTCACTTGCATTCAACCTCCCGTTGTCCTCGTTATTCCCACAGTCCCTCTCAACAGTGGTGTAGCTTCATGCTCCGACCCCGGGGGGGGCGGAGATCAGGCGGAGGCAGGGCTGGCGCACATCCCGGGGGCATGGCATGCCGCCTGCGAGGGCGTGGCACCCAGCGTGGGCGGGGAGAGCTGCCGCAATGGCACCCCATCGGGATCGCGCTGCCAGGGGCGGTGCGCTCCCCCTGCACTCCTCTTCCTCCGCCAGTGCCTCTCAACACTTCAAAATGACTGCTTGTTTCCAGCTTCAACTTGCGCTATCAGCTTCCCTTCTGAACAGTGCCGAGTGGTGAAATTTTTCACAGGGGAACAGTTAGGGCCAGAAATGCTAGCTTGCGAGGGTGGGTGTGCAGTGTGTCTGTGTGAAATGATGCACACATGAACATTGCATCTCTCTCCCTAAGCTGGGCAGAAGCTACCTGGGCTTTGGGAAGGAAGTGTCAGGTCTGTGAAAGGATACTATAGAGTCCTCCTTCCCCAAGCCAGATAGGAGCATCGTGCCTCCCTCCCTAAGCTGGGTAGAAGCTTCCCACGGTTGGGGAAGGGGGTGCCTGGGGAATATTCAGGGAACTAGCCTAGCCTCCTTAGTCTACTGACCGCACATCACTGCTTCTGAAAGATGGCAGCTTTCATTTTTAGCGCTTGCAAAAATCGGGCTTTGAAAGATCTGCTGCCGGCAGCACCAAGAAAAACCTTCTCCTGGCCCCCTCCCTCCGAAAAGCTCCAGCAACTGTAGGAGATGATACCCTCCCCGATAGAATAAGCAATATCCTGGTCTCATCATCATTGTCAGCACCACTGTTCAACAAAGTAACATCTCTCCCCGGATAAAGCTGGCAAATGTTATCCTTTGGCGATAGGAATCCTTCAGGGAAAGCCCCTATTCACAATCTTTCTAAAGCTCCCTTAATTGTTCCAGTTGCTGGAAATTTTAAACAGGTTCCTTCCCCCCCCTCCCTCTCCCCCCCCCACCACTCCAGCTGCTTTGCCAAGTTGCACTAAGCTCCCTTTGTCAAGCAAATGTGCCAAGCAAAGGCACAGAGAGATAAGCGCAGCTGAGGGAATTGCTTGAACTCGCCTGCCTGTAGATGGTTCCACTGTGCCGGAGTGCGCTTGTCTTTCTGTTCGGCTGCAACTTTTGGCATGGATCAGCATTGCTTCGACAAGGCCTCCTTCACCCAGAGATCTCGGCACGCGCTTATGGGCACAAAAAGGGGCTCTCTGTGAATTGGTAGCTCCCCAGTTCCAGTTTTCATCCCTTCAGGGGTGGGGTGGTGGTGGGGTTGTTGGCAAGGCTCCTGGCTGTATTCTGGCTCAAGGGGCTGTTCCCAAACAACCACAGTTTCCACAGGAAGATGCAGATGAGTTAAAGAGTTTATTAATCCAAAAGGGCTCAACGCCTTTGCGCACCATGCTTGAACTTTCACCCAGGGAATCTTTGCTGAAGAAGCAAGAATGATGTACAGTGGTACTTCGGGTTACATACACTTCAGGTTACATACGCTTCAGGTTACAGACTCTGCTAACCCAGAAATATTACCTTGGGTTAAGAACTTTGCTACAGGATGAGAACAGAAATCGTGCTCCGGCAGCGCAGCGGCAGCAGGAGGCCCCATTAGCTAAAGTGGTGCTTCAGGTTAAAAACAGTTTCAGGTTAAGTACAGACCTCCGGAACAAATTAAGTACTTAACCCGAGGTACCACTGTATTAGTAAATATGGAGTCAGACTTCTAAACCGCAAGGGTTACAACATCCCATAAGAATAAAAGGAGGGTGTTGCAAGAACATTGTTGCGATAGAGATAAAGAGATCTGATCATTTTGGTTTTATCGTTTTTCTAATCTTAAATCCAGTTCATCACATTTCCCTATCCATTTGAAATTTTTGACAAAAGCTTCACGAAAACTCACCAGCATTTTAGTGCCCCCTTCCCTCTCCCAGCTGCGACAAAACATGTCTCTCCCTTATCAATCTCTACAGCCACAGCAGGCGCTGCAATCTTCCAACAACTTGACCTCACCCCCAAAGGCACACTCCTCCATTGTCTCCCGAGATAGACAGATGACAGCAACGTCTCTCTCTCCTTATATATTTTTGTTTGCAATGTTGTATAATATATTCATTTTAGTGTGCAATGTTTCCTAATACAATGCATTTTAAACTGTTATTTTCAGTAATACATATGTGTGTGCTTTTATGTACACTTTACCCTAGCACATGTACTTTTGTACACATTCCTTGGTTGGAGATTGCATTGATAGAAGTGGATTTTGAAGGATATCTGTGTTTCAGGTAGTGCATTGTTTTGGGAAGTATAAATTAGATAGGTTTGCCCACCCTTTTCCTGCTCAGGGCCCAACACACAAGATATATAGAGCAACATTGGAGTGAGGGTTTGTCTTCATGCTCCTAGCCCTGTCCCAGCTTTTTCTCATTGCATACTCAGGCTAGTTAAATGGTGCTCCTAGTAGGTTTTCGGTGTCCAGTTGAAAGCAATAGGCAGGTACATCTTAGACTCAACTTCTGTGTGATTATTCTTATTATTACATTGCTTTCCTCCATCATATCCTCACAAGAACCCTGTGAGGTAGGTTGGTCTCTGAGATAGTGACAAGCCCAAGGTCACCCAGTGAGCTTCGGGGATGAGTGGAGATTTAAATACTGAGCTCTCCAATGCCAGGCTGACAGTAAGCCTGCTACAGTCACACCACACCAACGCTAAAAACATTGGGTGGTGTTTGACTAAAGATTTGCAGTAGCACAAGGATTAGTGCTAGCACAATAGGACTTTCTGCCTCTCCAGTGGTGTAGCGTGGGTTGCCAGAGCCCAAGGCTGCATGCAGATGGGTGGGTGGGAGGCAAACAGATGGAGTACACATGTACATTCAGCTGCCTAATGGCGTCCACATCACCCAGGAGATTGCAGCCACAGAGGTAAGAAAAGAAGAGGTGTTCTGTTGTCCGGAGAGGCCACTTCCTGGTTTGCATGGAGAAGCTGTTTTCAGTGGAGCCCAGGAACGGAAGCTTACGGCTTTATTGAGACAGCACCGGGTGTTGAAATTTTATGCCCCTAACAATTTTATGCCCCCATGTGGGCCTCCTCAATGCTACACCACTGCACCTCTCTCCTCCCCCCCATGGACACCCACACCATCCCCAACTGGAGGGTTGGGGGGGAAACCCAGAACAGATTTAGGGGTGCACAGAGGGAGGGGGAGAGCAGTCCATTGAGCAAGGAGAAATCCTGGCACTGATGGTACATTGAATTCAACCCATTGCTTTCACTTGAGTGTGTATAGCTCTCCATAAGGAATAAGTCTGTCTGTCTGTCTCTCTCTCCCTCCCTCCCTCCCTCTCTATATATATCCTAGTAAATGCTGATAGAGGGAGACAGATTGGGACATCTTTGATGATGAGTTGGCTCCTTTAATATTCAGCATCTCTCCTGCCTTCTTTTCCAGAAAGGCATTTGGGTGGCCTATTTGGAGTGAGGATTTCTAAGCACAATGGGGACTTGCATATTGGTTTTCAAAAGGGTTCTAAAAATAAAGCACCCAGCTCTGCTTTAAGCACTCCGCCGGGACACTTCTGAGTCTCTCCTTTTTATTGTTGTTATGCTTTCGTTTTGGCTTTGTTCTTCCTTTCATTTTCCGCGCATTCCGTTCCCAACACGTGCCCTCCCTCGCCAGGATGCCAGGGAGGGTTTGTGCAAGTGGATATAAACAGAAATTCTCTCTCATCTCATTAGCCCGAGCTGTTTATTATTAAGGCGACATTTCACAAGCATCTTACGAGGACGATGCGCCAGCGGAGTTTCGCCTTTGTGCCGGATTCATCTGTCAAGTCCAAACCAAGACCAGGATGCCAGATCCTTTTAGACCATTCTGAATCATCCTTATCTCCCCACTTCCAGTAGGGCTCCTAGCCTGAAGACTGTGTGCTGGTCCCCACATTCACACTGATCACTCAATGACTGCAGCGTCCAACAACTCTGGACTCATGTAAATGAAGCATTGCAGATCCACAACTGCAGGAACGGACTTTCCTATCATTTTGAGCACACCGGTTTGTAAGGCAGCCAGGCAGGTGCTGCCCACTCTGAGTTGCCTAGGGTTAGGGTTAAGCATGCAAAGTACATGCATACTAGTATCAAGAGATGTGGATCTGCATTAGATCTGAGTGATCCTGCTGCAATTCAGAATTGGCTCTGAATTATGGGCACGGCTAAATGAAAACTTGGTAGAAAGCTCTCCTACATCCCGAGCCTCTAATCACGCATGAATTTTAGCACATGCACATTACCAAAATACACTCGGGAAATGTGGTGTGTTCTTTTTCTGTCTTGGTGCATCACAGAGTCATGTTTGCTCAGTGCCCTGTTCTCTAATTGACTCTCACTGCAAGTGGTTTATTTACAAACTACTAGATAGACGAAGAATAACCAAAGAATTAAACAGCGTCATATCTGAGCATGCAGAAACATACCACTGCCTCCCTGACTTTGGCTGCTTAGTCATGCCAACTTCCCCTATCATGCAGGCACAAAGGGGAGAAATTAACCCATCATAAAACTCTTTTTATTATTATTATGAACATACTACATTTTTGGTGCATCGGAGCTGTGCCTTAATATATGTATAAGAAATGCAAACCAAGTGGATTCACAGCACCAACTGGTTAATTATGCCTCTCAGCAGCATCACCAGTTAGAACCAGCACTTTGCGAGTTACTAAGAGCTCAGAGGCAACGAAAGATTAAACCATAGCCAAGCCTTTTACCTCATCATTCCAGCTGTCCTCACCTATCCATATTCCCTGCCTGCTATGGAATGCAGGCAGAGTTCTGCTTATGACAGCAGGCTGCAGAGGAAGGGAAGGGAAAGGACATTTCAGCCCATCGCACATAGCTCTTGTGCATTTTGCCATTGAGGAAATCTGTGTGCTCCACCTTCCAGGGCTAGATTTGGGGCAGGCGAGCCTAGCAACTGCCAGGGACACTGGGATTTGGTGGTGGAGGGGGGGGCACCTGTTCTGAGCTATCTCTAACTTAAGTACCCATTCAACCGCTGAATGCAAAGCAGTACAGACAGTTCATCTTCATTTGTAAAGCTGGCATTGCTGACCTGCATGGCCAGTGTTGCAGTAATGTTATTTTCTTTTCTTTTCCTTTCCTTTCCTTCCTGGGAAAACGTAGAACACCAGGGCCCATTGAGCAAACAGTGAACATATGAGCAATTCCATGCATGCAAAGTTGCGTAGGAAATCATGCATGCAGGTCATGCATCTAAACAGTGAAATAAGTTACAAATGCAATTTTATTTAAAAAAAGTTAATAGGAAGCAGAACAAATAGAAGGGCTGGAAAAAACTGCAGCTTCTATGCAGTAACCACTTGGTCAGTGTCACTGGAAACAGAGGACGCTGCCGTATAGTGAGTCAGACCATTGCTTCACTGACTGGCAACGGCTCCCCAGCTTATCAGACTGGGGACATGTCCAATCCCACCTGGAGAAACCAGGAACTGAACCCAACACCTTCTGCAGGTAAGGCAGCTTGTGGGATATTTGCAATGCAGTCAAACCAACAATGCACATTTGCACTGAATAGAAACAGATCTGGATATCTTTTCAAACCCAGACAGCAGAAAATGAATATGGGAAAGCTGCGTTGCACTGACTCAGACCCAGCGGTCCATTGAGGTCGGTATTGTCTGTGCTGATGGCAGTGACTCTCCATTGTTTCATACACAGAGTTCCTCTCCCAGCTCTATCTGGAGTCATCAGGGATTGAACCCGAGACCTTCTGAACAAAAGGAGGATGCTCTAACACCAAGCTATGACCCTTGAGGAGAGGGTGGTGATTCAGATGTTAGTTGCTAATAATAATCTGGTTTCTTAAGCCATTGCGATTTAAAAAAAAGAAGCCTGTGGGGTTTTGTTTTTTTCCAAAACACACTGGCCTCGTTGTGCAAGCACATCTCCAGTTCGCCGTTTTCTTGGCCGAAATGCATGCACGGTCCCCTAGGGGATCAGGGGATTCTTCAAGGGCATGTCACCTGAAGCGCTGATTTCCATCATGCTCCTGCCTTGAGCCCTAGGTACTGCCTCCACCCAGCCACCCCCCTCCCCGCACATCCCAAGGCCTCGTTTGCTTTGCAGAGGCATTAGATTAGCACGAGGGCTTATGACCAGCCATCTGCCACAGCAGGCTGCTGACTGAAAGTCCCCTGATCTCCGAGCAACATTGCTGAGGAGTACGGAAGGATTTCAGGAGCGGGGAGATGGAGGGGAACTTATTACCCTGGCGCTTGTTCCTTGCTCTGCATAGTCAGATTGAAATGAAATTTCCATCAGCAGCATGGGGACATTGTGTTTAAGAAGCCAGGGGATTTTCTTTTTAAACGAGTTTTTCAAGGTAGTGGTACTTTCTGTTCTTGTTTTGACATAATGGCCCCAAAATAACATCTTGTGAGTGAGCCGATGAATTGTTGGCACCAACTGCTGAAGAAGGAGGCCATAAGAACATGCAAAGCTGCACTGGTCCATCTCGCACAGTATTGTCTATTCTGAATCTCCAGGGTTTCTGAATACATACCCTCCAACATTTCTCCAGTGAAAATAGGGACATCCTATTCCATAGCCTCCAACATTTCTCCAATGAAAATAGGGATGTCCTAAGGAAAAATGGGACATTCCAGGATCAAATCAGAAACCAGGACAGCTTCTGTAAATTCAAAGGTGAACCAACCTAATTTGCACCTAATTTTGCATCCTCCGAAATTTGCACATTTTGAAATTTTGCAGTGCATTTCTGCAAGCAGGCAATCTCTATGCCATTAGTGAAAATGGCGTACAAATACATACAAAAATGCATTATATTAGGTAACACAGCTTTGCAAAAAAAAGAAGTGTATATTATGTAGAATTGCATATATGGAAATGTGCATATTTAGGAGAGTCACAATAAAATGCTTATGAATTTTCATGAAGTCTTTTGTGTGTGTGTGTGTAATGCCAACGAATGTGGAAATGTGGAGAACTGGATGTGAGGTTGAAAAAATGAGAAACCGAGAGAAACAAAATCTGATAGATTTGCCCATCCCTACCTGGAAGTAACATGTGTGTGTCTTTAGAAATTGACCTATATGTACTACTGGTTCCTCTCCCCAGAATGTTCTCTGTCTCTCTCCACTGTTGGCCTCCCCTCTCCCTCTCCTTTTTAGGAAGCATTTTATGAAGTCTTATGAAATGACACCCCAACTTGCATGGACTATAGTTTTGGTGCTGGAACGGAATACTCCATGAAACGACCCCCTCCATTGGTCATTTTTGTGCTCTTCCTGCCTGTACCCAAGCGCCATTGCTCCTCAGGATTCTTCTTCTGCATCTGCACCCCCTGTTGTTGTTTAGTCATGTAGTCGTGTCCGACTCTATGTGACCCCATGGACCAGAGCACGCCAGGCACTCCTGTCTTCCACTGCCTCCCACAGTTTGTTCAAACTCATGTTTGTAGCTTCGAGAACACTGATCAACCATCTTGTCCTCGGTCGTCCCCTTCTCCTTGTGCCCTCCTTCTTTCCCAACATCAGGGTCTTTTCCAGGGATCTCCCAGCATCATAACTTTTATTTGCCTGTTGTTTTTGTCCATGGAGTTTTCTTGGCAGGGGTACTGGAGTGGCTTGCCGGTTCCTGCTCCAGGTGGATCATGTTTAGTCAAAATTCTCCACGATGACCTGTCCATCTTGGTCGACCCTGCACGGCATAGCTCATTTGCACCCTCTAGTTGTTGTTAATCAACACAAGGCTCCTGTTTTGGGGTAGGGGGTCAATTAAGTGGGGGGGGAATTGCCTTCATACCTCCAGGATCTTTACCACCATCTGTCACCAGAGGCTCACTCTCCCCCTCTCCTTGGGGCAGCTTTGGCACCCACCAGAATGACGTGCAAGGCACCCGCTTTCCTAGGAGTAGATGGAGAGAGTAAGGGCATCTCATTTACTTGCTGAGCAGGCTCCTCAAGCATCAAAACAGCCATAGTGGCACCTGGGTGGCAGTTGTTCCATGCCAGACTGAGGCTCTGGTATGCTCTTTAATCACACCTGCTGAAGCTTCTCTGTCCTTGCCAAAGATAGGCTGGCAATGAGACTACTGAATCTGGCTCCCTGGCACTGAGACTATTGCCTTTGGCACCGGGCCAGTACAGTCCATCTCTTCCTGAAAATAGCATGCCATTATTTTTATTATTATTATGAAGGGAGGGAGGGAGGGAAGATGAGAGGAATATTTTTCTGTTTGTTAACTCTAGCAGTTCCAGCGCAGCCCCAAAAGCAATAGCAGGAGCCGAAAACATGTTAGGCTACATAATGTCCTAGATCGGAGTTCTGGAATCAGGATGCTCACAGTGGAAACAGAGGGCGGTGCCTCTGCACATGTACAGATGGGTGGAGGGGAAATAGCAGAGGGGGGGAGATGATGGGGGATCCTGGAGAATGAACCTGCGTTGCCAATATAGGGCTGCTTCATGTATTACATACGTACATGGCAGTAAGCCTGGGTTTGCAACTGAGCTCGACAGAAATCATAGGCAGCAGGTTCCACCCAACTTTTTTGTGGGTCGTCGTGCACGTGTGATGTCACACATACAACACGCACATGACATCATGAGGTCTGCCGCAGCCACAGGGAGGTCTGACGGGTTCCAGCCCCTCAAGATTGGGAGCGCTCACCCCTGACTCAATATACTTTGGGGGAGCTGAGGTGTCCTCAGCCCCACAGAGTTGGCGCCTATGACAGGAATCATAGAATTGTAGAATTGTGGAGCTGGAAGGGAATCCAAGGAAGATCTAGTCCAACCCTTTGCAGTGCAGGAATCACAGCTACAGTATAGAATCCCTGACAGATGGCCATCCACTTTTCAAGGTTGTCTGTTCCCCTGTTGAACAGACCTTACCGTCAGAAAGTTCTTCCTAAGGTTTAGTTAGGAAGGTCAATTCTGTGTCCAGGGCAGCTGTTTATCAGCTCCATCTGGTACGCAGGCTGAGACCCTACCTGCCCACAGACTGTCTCGCCAGAGTGGTGCATGCTGTAGTCATCTCCCGCTTGCACTACTGCAATGCACTCTATGTGGGGCTACCTTTGAAGGTGACCCGGAAACTACAGCTAATCCAGAATGCGGCAGCTAGACTGGTGACTGGGAGTGGCCACCAAAACCATATAACACCAGTCCTGAGAGATCTGCATTGGCTCCCAGTAGGTTTCTGAGCACAATTCATAGTGTTGGTGCTGACCTTTAAAGCCCTAAACAGCCTCGGTCCTGTATACCTGAAGGAGCGTCTCCACCCCCATCGTTCAGCCAGGACACTGAGGTCCAGTGCCAAGGGCCTTCTGGAGGTTCCCTCACTGCAAGAAGTGAGGTTACAGGCAACCAGGCAGAGGGCCTTCTCGGTAGTGGCACCCGTCCTGTGGAACGCCCTCCCTTCAGATGTCACGGCAATAAGCAACATCTGAAGGCAGCCCTGTTTAGGGAAGTTTTTAATGTTTAGTACTGTGTTGTGTTTTTAATATTCAGTTGGGAGCTGCCCAGAGTGGCTGGGGAAACCCAGCTGGATGGGCAGGGTATAAATAATAAATAAATTGTTGTTGTTTCTCCTTTCTTGTGATTCTGTGTCTTGGAACCAATCCTTGTAATCACACCCTGTAACAAATCCTGTTTTCACTTAGCGATCCCCTGTATGGTACCATTGCACTAGGTATCCTTATGCCTGCTTTTCTGGCACTCACACTTTACTGTGTTACTTACACCCGAGGCATGACATGCACGGTGCCCCTCCCAAATGCAATGCCTCGGACAGCCCTGATTCTCTAAGGCTACATTTCTTCCAACGCACTCTCAAATCTTGGCAGGCAAAAGAGCATGCTAGCATCACCATCCCAAACACAATTCAGCCCTTCCAGTGAAGTCTGTTTCACGTGGATCCCACCTGCAAGACGCTGCACAAAATGGCCTTTGCACCGACGATAGCCACACGGCAGTTTTCTGCACAAATGGGTTTTCCCTGAGATGCTAAACCCCTGTCTCGAGACCAGAAAAAAAATGAGTTGTGCAGATTGCATGGCCGTCACTGAGACCAGGCCATTTTAGACCTGCAGTCTAAAATGGAACAGTCCATTATCTCACTGCAGGCTTAAGCATGAGGCTAAATAGAAACAGTCTAATGTGGTCCGAGTATCTTGGCATCTGTGACCTATAAGATCTCCTGTCATGGACTAAGACACCCTGAGCTGACTGCTTCCCCTCCATCTGATTCATTCATGCCATATGAATGTAAAATTGGGGGGACGGACATATCTGTCAATGTGAGTTTCTCTCCCTCTCCCATTTTTCCAATCTTAAATTCAGTTCTCCACGCTCCTATTTTAGGCTGCAAAAATCCTTTTCTTTCTTTTTCTAAGTCCTCCTTGAAATTCTGCCCACATTTTCATGCAAATACCTCCGATTTTTTTTGTATGCTGTTTTTCATGAAACACAGATATCTGCAAGCAATCTTCCCTAATATAATGCATTCTGTATGTTATTTTCACTAAAATATATCTTTTTGCATGCCGTCCCCTACTATATGCATTCTCGTACACATGACTTAGTTGGAGAAAAAATCCAGAGAAGGACAAATAATAATGACAGTTTTATTACTTATACCCACTCAAATTTTGAAGATGGCTGTGTTTTTGGTTCATGTATTGTTTCAGGGATTGTGAATTTCCTGGAGGGTAGATATGTTTTTAAACTGAATTTCTCCCCCATCCATAAGCAAAATACACCGATTTTTGCAAACTGTACATTTCCAGG